CCCTCAACAAATGTTTGTGATCGATATCGTCGACAATGACTTGCACCTGTCCATTAAGACCTCCCACAACAAATGTTTGTGATCGACATCGTCGACAATGACTTGTACCTGTCTATTAAGACCTACCACAACAAATGTTTGTGATCGATATCGTTGACAATGACTTGTACCTGTCCATTAAGAGTGATAACTTGGAATTGTTATACTTTATCTACAAACACCAGAAAACTAGTAAACTGACAATTTTTAAATTTACTGAAATTGTTTCTTATAATTGGAATCAACATTCAACATTTAACGATGCATATTTATAAGTAAATAAAGATTGGTTCCATTTTGAAATTTAAATGTTTTGTTGCCATTTTCTCACGTAGTTCAAACTTTGACACTAATTTTGTGAAGAAATAATCTCATAGAAAAGTAAATTTGAATTTAGCTGTGAATATATTATATCAAGGAGACCTTAGTATATTATGTATAACATTTACTAAATTCCTCCATGGGTACAAAGGTTTAATTTGTATGTTTGGCAAATTTTTACGGAGATGTTTTTTTCCAAGCCCAGAATTGACATTGTAGATACGATCGTGGTAAACTAATCGATCCGTTAAATAAACTTATTCTAAAAGGTTACCAATTCAACTTTGTAATTTGATCTTTAAATATTATTTTTATTGGTATAAATATTGATTTTGTTATCAGTAAATTAAAACGAAGCTAATATTATTGTTATATACTAGTGTTGTCAACGGTTAACCGGTTAACCGTCGGAAGGACCGAATATCGAATACCAAAAACGCTAATCGGTTAACCGGACCTTATTTTCAATTTTAAGAGATTTGATATTAAAATCATTAATAAATTTTGTTCAATTTTAAAATGATCCTAGTTGTAATAAATTTGACAGATCAATTGTCCAGTATATTGCTTATTCTTGTTAACCTTGAAAACATAAAATTAATTAGCACAAATACAACTTGTCTATCAGCTCGGGGCAAGATTGTAAGTGAACATAATTAGCAAACATGTATTATGAACAGTTGTAAGCCGATTAAATTTTACGATTTACTATATTATATCATTTTTTATTTGATATTGCGTAGACCTACATGTAAATATGCCATCTCCATCGTCCAATGCTTTGTCATACTTTAAACGAAATGCCGACTCAAAAAAGGTGAAATGCAAATCAACGTGAATGGAACTAATGTATACTGGGTGGTACGAGTAACACACTTAATCATCTCACAATGGAACTAATGTATACTGGGTGGTACGAGTAACACACTTAATCATCTCACAATGGAACTAATGTATACTGGGTGGTACGAGTAACACACTTAATCATCTCACAATGGAACTAATGTATACTGGGTGGTACGAGTAACACACTTAATCATCTCACAATGGAACTAATGTATACTGGGTGGTACGAGTAACACACTTAATCATCTCACAATGGAACTAATGTATACTGGGTGGTACGAGTAACACACTTAATCATCTCACAATGGAACTAATGTATACTGGGTGGTACGAGTAACACACTTAATCATCTCACAATGGAACTAATGTATACTGGGTGGTACGAGTAACACACTTAATCATCTCACAATGGAACTAATGTATACTGGATGGTACGAGTAACACACTTAATCATCTCACAATGGAACTAATGTATACTGGGTGGTACGAGTAACACACTTAATCATCTCACAATGGAACTAATGTATACTGGGTGGTACGAGTAACACACTTAATCATCTCACAATGGAACTAATGTATACTGGATGGTACGAGTAACACACTTAATCATCTCACAATGGAACTAATGTATACTGGATGGTACGAGTAACACACTTAATCATCTCACAATGGAACTAATGTATACTGGGTGGTACGAGTAACACACTTAATCATCTCACAATGGAACTAATGTATACTGGGTGGTACGAGTAACACACTTAATCATCTCACAATGGAACTAATGTATACTGGGTGGTACGAGTAACACACTTAATCATCTCACAATGGAACTAATGTATACTGGGTGGTACGAGTAACACACTTAATCATCTCACAATGGAACTAATGTATACTGGATGGTACGAGTAACACACTTAATCATCTCACAATGGAACTAATGTATACTGGATGGTACGAGTAACACACTTAATCATCTCACAATGGAACTAATGTATACTGGGTGGTACGAGTAACACACTTAATCATCTCACAATGGAACTAATGTATACTGGGTGGTACGAGTAACACACTTAATCATCTCACAATGGAACTAATGTATACTGGGTGGTACGAGTAACACACTTAATCATCTCACAATGGAACTAATGTATACTGGGTGGTACGAGTAACACACTTAATCATCTCACAATGGAACTAATGTATACTGGGTGGTACGAGTAACACACTTAATCATCTCACAATGGAACTAATGTATACTGGGTGGTACGAGTAACACACTTAATCATCTCACAATGGAACTAATGTATACTGGGTGGTACGAGTAACACACTTAATCATCTCACAATGGAACTAATGTATACTGGGTGGTACGAGTAACACACTTAATCATCTCACAATGGAACTAATGTATACTGGGTGGTACGAGTAACACACTTAATCATCTCACAATGGAACTAATGTATACTGGGTGGTACGAGTAACACACTTAATCATCTCACAATGGAACTAATGTATACTGGGTGGTACGAGTAACACACTTAATCATCTCACAATGGAACTAATGTATACTGGGTGGTACGAGTAACACACTTAATCATCTCAAATTGAAACACTCAACATATATATTACGAGTAACACACTTAATCATCTCAAATTGAAACACTCAACATTATTTACTGAGACATAAGAGAAAATGAAACAATCAACGGTTTCTGACTTTGTCAATTCGACGAGATCAAGAAGATTTTCATCATCTCAATCTGAAGTTAGGAATGCTCAACGCCAAGCCTTATAATGCTCAAGGATAAACATCAAGTTATCGTATCATAAAAACGTACATATGTAGTGTACTATAGATAAGGCATTTAAACATTAACTAAACTACCGGTTAACCGGTCAATCGGACGACAGATTATCAGAGTAACCGCTTAGGCAAAACTGTTCGATTTGACAACACTATTATATACATATATATATATATATTTATAAGTACGTCTGAACCAGTGACAATCTACAACAGATTTATCCATCGGATCACCAGCAGTGATGGTGATACATGGCTGTGTACATTCTGTATATACAACTCGTCTAAACATCAGCCCAACATGTTAGATCTGTATATTTGCTTTCGCAAATTTTTTGTTCTTCCCTCTATACATAAAAAAGTCTAAATTGAAAACCTATGATTGCGTTGGATAAAAACCGCAATTTTTATACGTGTGCATGAAAAACAAATTTCTTGGTAGAGGGGTCTAAATACAGCACAAACAACATTTTCCAAAAAACCAAAAAAGTGAAAGAGTATATTTTAACAAAACGCATTTGACTAGCAGGTCGAACAACGGATGTTCTTAAACCCTGCTGACTGCCATTGGCGATAGCCAAATAAACGGATCACCAGATGTATATATGCACATTCACGGTTCTACAATCTGTCGATACCAGCAATTTGGCATTGCACAAGGTCCTGTTTTCTCTAGACTCTTAATGACGTCTTTACACTAAATCAATTGGATGTTGGATGTGTACTGATTGATACTTTAGTCTTAGATACATGATTTTATCTATTAGTTGTTTCTGGCTTTGCACTAGCGGTCAGTAACTGCGAGTACTCTCCAGATCTGTACTTTTTGCTGTGGGGATGTATAAATACCCCGTCACGTCCTGTCTGCGTTTTTGTTCGTTGTTTTTCTGCTTTGTATCGATCTGATGAGTTGAGCCCTTTTCAACTGATTTTTATAGTTTGTTCATAGCTGTTCTGTTACACCACTGCCACAGGTTAGGAGGAGGGTTGGGCACCCGCTAACATGATTGACCCGGCACATTCTATATGTGCCTGTCCCAAGTTACAGAAATCTGTAATTCAGTTGTTGTAGTTTGTTTTGATTTATATCATATTTGTATTTTGTTCATTGTTTTTCTACATAAATCAGGCAGCGTTTTTTTTCGTTGGAATTGTTTTACATTTGTTATTTCGGGGTCTTTTGTTAATAATGAACAAAAAGGTTAAACATGCTACACCGAGGAACAAGTGATCAATATGCTGGAGTTTCATATTGACAACATATTTGTTGAATTTGTTCACACATTGTTGTCAACATAATGGAATTTATGCGACTGTCATTACAAGTGGGAGGTTTAGCTAGCTATAAAACCAGGTTTAATCCACCATTTTCTACATAAGAAAATGACTGTACCAAGAAGGAATGTGACAGTTGTTTTCCATTCGTTTGATGTGTTTGAGTTCTTGATTTTGCCATTTGATAAGGGATTTCCCGTTTTTGAATTTTCCTTGGTGTTCGGTATTTTTGTTATTTTACTTTTAATAGCCGACTATGCGGTATGGGTTTTGTTCATTGTTGAAGGTCGTACGGTGACCTATAGTTGTTAACTTCTATGTCATTTGGTCTCTGGTGGAGAGTTGTCTCATTGGCAATTATACCACATCTTCGGATCTTTTATATTAGCGAATCGAGTTTTGTTTATAGTTTGTTATTATGCCTTGTAAATATTTCTCGACCTGTATCTGTTAGGGAACGACCATTTAACTTCAAAGGGGGGGGGGGGGGGGGGTATGGTTTTTTCCTAAAAAAATATTCTGATCCCAAGTTTGATGAAAAAAAAAATATTGTGGTCAAGCAGATGACAAAGAAAGTTTTCTGATTCCAGATTTTCCCCATACCTTATAGTGTTAAATTTTGAAAAAAATTTCTGACTCAAACAAAAAACAAAAAACCATACCCCCCCCTTGAAGTTAAATGGTTGCTCCCTAAATACAAAGAAACACATATATGTACAATATATCCAAAAATATATAAGTAAACACCAAATTTCACATATTTGTACAATATAAACAAGAATTCATAAGTAAACACCAAAGCTCACATACATGTATAATATATACAAGAATTATAAGTAAACACCAAAACTCAAATATATGTACAATATAAACAAGAATTACATGTAAACACCAAAAATCTCATATATGTACAATACATACAAAAATTATCTTTAAACACATTAGCTCACATATATGTACAATATAAACAAGAATTATCTGTAAATACCAAAACTCACATATATGTACTATATAAACCAGAAGGGGAAGTGTTGTTATGTTCTTGAAAACAACTGATTTATTTATTAATCATATAAATCTACCATTTTTTTAATTATTTAAACTTTCCTGTTCAACTCATAATTTCTTTGCATTTCAAAATATTTGGTCTTTGCAATACATTTTCATCCGTTAGCTTTTTCTTATTTATTGCAAATGTTTATCATTCTAGAATATGGTTTTCAACACCAAAACAGTTAATATTGCATTAGAAACATATACTTCAACATTCCACCGACCTGTTTCTATTAAGACCATTCTTAAACTCAAAATTTTCTTTAAACATTCTATAATTTAAAGATTTTGGTGAATTTACCATAAGTTATAATGTAATGCCATTCCTATCTAAATTCGATATGTAGGCGCATAAGTACTGAAGACATAAGCCAATCTGAGTTAGGAACAAGTTGGTCTGTCATAATATAGGAATAGCCAGTATCACCAAACACTGTTCAATTAACTTTAATCATGGGATTCAAAATGATAGGCGACCGACAATTTGCAAAATCATAATTGATACGCTAAATAAGAAAGTTTTGAATCCTTCCCGGATAAAAGTCAAGCCTAATATGCAATCATTCTTAGTTGTCTAGTCAGGTGTAAAAGCACGGACTGGTCGTCTTGACCAAAATATGCGTCCAGGTAGGGGGATTTGTTTTTATGCGTGCCGTTACCTTGGAATCTGCATGTTAAAAAAAATCATGTTGGTAGGGGTTATATTCATATTATTTGAATTTGTTTTTTGTGTAGTGTTTTGTTGTCTTTCTGTCGTTCTTCTTTTTGATTTTATTGTATTTAATTAATTGATATATCCTACCTCCTTTAAATTTCATATCTTTTAAAATCATTGTTAATTTGTTCTCGTACTGAATATGCATGATATATTTGCCACTTGACGTTTAGCAAACAAAAACCAATCAGTCCGATTAAGAGATATGGACAATTTCTCCTTAATTTATGCATCACCTGGTCAAATTCAAAAGAAGTCTTTTACTAAATTTAACAGTATCACAGCCTGATGTGGGCAACTTGAGATTCTAACAACTCGCATGTTGTATTTCTGAGCATGTCACAAAATCATAAATGTCTAAATATACATAAACACTGAAAATGTATGATTCATTCGGACATTTTTATTTTTTATAAAATAAAGAAGAAAACATTCAATTTTTTCTTATCAGATATTGACCTATGTATTGTCCTTTAAAAACTTGTGAAATTCCAAATTTTTATTTAATTTGATACTTTGTATTGGGAGAAAACCAATGCGGCCTGTTCTTACGCAACATGTCTGCCCTGATCAAGCATTCAATGTTTTTAAAGTGGGAGTCCAAATCTACGGTGGTCAATTTAAATTCACTCGCTTTAAGGTAGATCGGGAGTATTCCGCCATCTTGGATTGTAAAATAGTAGATAACAATCGGTATAGATATTTAATGAATTGTGCAAATAAGAGTGGAATGTAAATGTAGTTCATTTGTAAGTCTTTTCATCTTAATGAAAAAAAGATATGTGTTTAATCTTATACTGCTTTAAGAAATACAATAAAATAATTCAACTTAGCCATATAAGGGGAAAGAACTCATTTATTCTAACTTTTATAAAAGGAATATGTTGTAAACGTTAATTAAATTTACCCAGTTTGTTTAATAGAAAAAAACACAAAAATCAAAGCATCATGGATGTTGTGATTCAGCCAATTTTGTAGCTAGTCTGGCATTTTTTTCTGACCACACTTTCAATAATTATTTTATTATCTTCATTTCCATAATCTCACTGTAAAATTTCCATTCTATTGCCAAAAGATTAATGCAAATTATTTTGGTATTTCAATTCAAGACACTGTCAGATTTTTTTACATCTTTTTTTAGAAACATTTGAAATTCAATGATTTTGGACAAGAATGTTAAGGGAAATCTTCAAATGACTGTAGCATACTTTTTATATGCCATTAATAATAATTGGCTTAATAATTTCCAAAAAGAGCCATTAAAAATGCACTTTCTCAGCAACAACAAAAATAAATAATAATATTTTTATCTAAATAGGTGTTCATTCTTCATTAAGGAAAAATACATTTCCTGTATTCAAATACACATGTACAAATACCTCATGCTGAATTTATTCCAATTACTGTTAACTAGCATTATAATGGGGAATATACAAATACCTCATGCTGAATTTATTCCAATTACTGTTAAATAGCATTATAATGGGGAATATACAAATACCTCATGCTGAATTTATTCCAATTACTGTTAAATAGCATTATAATGGGGAATATACAAATACCTCATGCTGAATTTATTCCAATTACTGTTAACTAGCATTATAATGGGGAATATACAAATACCTCATGCTGAATTTATTCCAATTATTGTTAACTAGCATTATAATGGGGAATATACAAATACCTCATGCTGAATTTATTCCAATTACTGTTAACTAGCATTATAATGGGGAATATACAAATACCTCATGCTGAATTTATTCCAATTACTGTTAACTAGCATTATAATGGGGAATATACAAATACCTCATGCTGAATTTATTCCAATTATTGTTAACTAGCATTATAATGGGGAATATACAAATACCTCATGCTGAATTTATTCCAATTACTGTTAACTAGCATTATAATGGGGAATATACAAATACCTCATGCTGAATTTATTCCAATTATTGTTAACTAGCATTATAATGGGGAATATACAAATACCTCATGCTGAATTTATTCCAATTACTGTTAAATAGCATTATAATGGGGAATATACAAATACCTCATGCTGAATTTATTCCAATTACTGTTAACTAGCATTATAATGGGGAATATTCAAATACCTCATGCTGAATTTATTCCAATTACTGTTAAATAGCATTATAATGGGGAATATACAAATACATCATGCTGAATTTATTCCAATTACTGTTAAATAGCATTATAATGGGGAATATACAAATACCTCATGCTGAATTTATTCCAATTACTGTTAAATAGCATTATAATGGGGAATATACAAATACCTCATGCTGAATTTATTCCAATTACTGTTAACTAGCATTATAATGGGGAATATACAAATACCTCATGCTGAATTTATTCCAATTACTGTTAAATAGCATTATAATGGGGAATATACAAATACCTCATGCTGAATTTATTCCAATTATTGTTAACAAGCATTATAATGGGGAATATACAAATACCTCATGCTGAATTTATTCCAATTATCGTTAAATAGCATTATAATGGGGAATATACAAATACCTCATGCTGAATTTATTCCAATTATCGTTAAATAGCATTATAATGGGGAATATACAAATACCTCATGCTGAATTTATTCCAATTATCGTTAAATAGCATTATAATGGGGAATATACAAATACCTCATGCTGAATTTATTCCAATTATCGTTAAATAGCATTATAATGGGGAATATACAAATACCTCATGCTGAATTTATTCCAATTATTGTTAACTAGCATTATAATGGGGAATATACAAATACCTCATGCTGAATTTATTCCAATTATTGTTAACTAGCATTATAATGGGGAATATACAAATAAATTTGTGACAGAAAATGCTGAGGTAAGACATGTAAGAGAGATAATTGTAACTTAAATAGACCTTAATTATTAACTTATGTCAGAAGATTATGACACTGATTTTACAACTATTGAGGTCAAAATTTGGTGTATTCAGTAAGATGTGTGATAAATTGAATACACAAATTCTTGACCTCAATACCTGTATGATTATCAACTGTCATGATAAATTAATATAACTGTGGTCAATTAAGACTGCATTTGAGTGGAGTTTAATCCAAATAATACTTACACCTTTGAGTGTAATTGTTTGAAAATCGTGGCAGCTGTCCATCATACTGGTATTGTACCAACAATTTGATTTGCCTAATGCAAGAATGGGAATAATAGCATTTAAAAAAGTGTGGGAATCAACTCTGATATGAATACACATCTTGAACCAAATTTTATTCAATGGCTCACAGGAACATAAGATACTGATAAAACACTTTTATTATTCTTATCAACGGCTAAAATTTGATAAATCACATTTTCCACATTCATGTGACATTAATTAATAAATGGCAATTTAATATCAATTTTGATTTACACAGGAACTATATACTAGTACAAGTGTTTATCTAAAATAAAGAAGTTGTTCGCCCAACCTTTTCTTAATTTAAAGACAAATAACATATTAAAAGTTGGCAGTTGATGATTAAAATGGTGTATAAAGTTTCTGCAAGTCATAGAAACACATAATTATTTTCATGACATGTCTTCAACATTGAATTTTGCACCATCTCCAAAACCAGAGTGATCACATAGATCCAGCATGGCTGAATCAAAAAACCAGAGTTCAGTGACCCCGTTTTTTTTATTTTCTGAAAGCTTATTATAAGAGATGTCTTCTCATAATTTATCTTAAAATTCTATCGTTCAGTTTTTCTTTCTATAAAACAAAGTTTGTTTTAGTATAGCGCATTCAAAATCTGTAGCTTAAAAAATACTGGTGACTCATACTTTTTCTAATTTGTTTGCGCTTAGTATAGAAAAGGGAACATTGGCTTTACCTCTTTAACCTGAAGGGAACTGACCTAAACATTGATTGATTGAGTGTTTGCTTTATGCCCAATGGTTGATTCAAATAGCTATCTATTCAAGGAAAAGTAAATTATCTAACCCCACACAAATGTTAATGTTGAACATATTTGTAAAAAGTAGTCTAGTTAAAGAGACTATGGTCTTAGTTGAAATTTGACGTTGAACGAGATTTCAGTCACAATGTGAGTACACTTTATAATGGTATTCATGCCTATTGACTTATTTGTTTTGTATTAATTTGTACTTGGAACTGATCTATGCATCAATCCTGTTCGAACTAATCTAGACAGTTCGTTTTTATATCGTCCTTTCACACAAATGTGACAGTCCCAGATTGGGGATGGGGAAGGAAGGTTGAGCGCTAACAAACATATCTAACCCGCCACATTATGTACCTATCCAAAGTCCGTACTTTGACCTATAGATATTGTATTGTGCTTGTTTTATGTTGTAATGTTACACCACTGTTTCAGGTTAGGATAAAGGTTGGCGCTTGTTAAAATATTTAAACCCGCTGCATTTTTATGCACCTGTACTAAGTCAGGCGCCTGTTGTTCAGTGGTTGTCGTTTGTTGGTGTGGTTCATAAGTGTTTCTCTTGTTTCTCGTTTTTTATATAGATTGGACCGTTGGTTTTCCTGTTTGAATTGTTGACTTGGATGGATAGTTGTCTCATTGACACTCATACCATATCTTCTTATTCATATCTGTAGTCCAGTCGTTATCATCACGTTTCCGTTTTTTACAATATTTTTTGCTACCACAGCCTGAATCAGGTTAAAAAGGTATTAGGGTGATCAGCTCTGAAAGAACGTGATAACTTAAACTACATATTAAATATTCCAACTTATCTTAAATCTAACAAGCAGGTTATTTCTTTTCACGTACAAAACAAAACATAGACATTTGGATATTTTTAAATGATTTATAATTGGTCAATTGAACAATACCAAAACATTGTCTCATAAATGAGATTTCTGATTGATCCTTAGAACTTATAACCAGACTTTTTCAAATATTGGTGATTTCGGGTTGGTTCCTATAGAACACGATAACTATACAGTGTCTAATAATGGTGATTATGATTGGTCCTCTGAATATGATAACCGGATATTACTGATAATGGGGATTTCTGATTGGTCCCTTGCATATAAAAATCAGAAAAAGCCTGAAAATGTTGATTGATTTTTATTCTGCAAAAACAGGGCACAATCTTTGGCATAAGAAATGTACACAATTCAACCTTTTTAAGAGTTAAATTGGTTATCAGTCTATCTTAACGACAAAAAGTTCAAAAGGTTAGAAAACACACATTGTCACATGTTTGTTCCTTCATGGTTAATTGCTAGATACAAAAGCTGGGAATTTATTTGACGAAAACTAACCACCATCTATACTTAATTCCCTGAAGGACAAAATCATAAAAATAATTCATATATCAACAGAAAAACATACCACAAAATTTCCTAAATTTTTTTTTCTATGTTTCATGTTTCTCATACTCCTATATACATATGTATAAATAAATATTCATTTATGTGCACAATGTTTATAGTTTTGGCAATATTTACACAACAGTTTTTACTGCATGTGATTAAATTTAAAAAAAATTACTATAACAGACCAAAATTGATCTAGTTGTCAATTTTATTCCAATATTTCCTCTCTAGTCCACTTTTTCATCTTCACAATTTTTTTTTATAAAAGAGAGGCGAAAGATACCAAAATGGAGATTCAAATTCATGAGTAAAAATAGACTGCCAACGCCATTGCAAAAAATAAAAAAGACAAAAAATTAAACAACAGTACAGCCCTTGGATGGTGTAAACTTCCCAAAAAAAACGTGTATGGTGTAATGGTGTATGGCATATGGTGCAATGGTAGAAGGTGTATGGTGCTATGGTGTATGGTGTAAGGGGAATGATGTAATGGTGTAACGTGCGATCGGGAATGGTGTGAATGAATGGTGTACGACATTTAAAACTATGCAAAAATTGATGTATGTTTTGGTTAAAAATAAAATGAATTTACAAAATGACATAAACTGACATAAAGAACTGGTTTTTAATTTTATACTTTAATTTACAATATTGTGATCAAAATTCGTTTTTTAAAATAAATAAATAATTTTGTAGTCGCACGCTTTCTTTGAAATTAAATTGCATTATGGTGTAATGTGTAAGGTGTATGGTGCAAAGTAGTAACGTGTATGGTGTAATGGCACAGGGTGTAATGGTGTATGGTGAATGGTGTAATGGTGTATGGTGTCAGTGGGAAGTTTACACCATCCAAGGACTGTATACAAAACACAATATTGAAAACTAAAGATTGAGCACCAAAAACCCCACTTAAACTTGGAGGGAATCGCAGGTGCTCCGAAAAGGTATGCAGATCATGCTCCAACAGTGACAAGTATAATTCAGAAGAATTACTCTACATGATTGTATGAATAGAAAAATGTAGTCTGACTTTTATCGTTTGCATTACATTGCTATCAAATATAAAGATGGTCGCTTTCTATGCACAAGGTCTTCTACAAATCTGTTTCTATGGTTATATGTGTATTTCTCATCAACTACAAAAATAACTGTTTGCCATACAAATGATGAGAACAACTTTATTTCTCTATTGCGTTAGAACATTGATTTGTTGTTCAATTTCTACCTCAACAGTCATTTCTGAAAATAAATAAAATAATTGACAAATCCAATGATAAAATACGCTACTATTTAAAATTTTACTTTAAAAAATTGAAGTTTTACAGAAATACCCCTTTTTACTGGACCAGTAGAAAAAGAAGCTGTGGCGACTATCATTCAATGGAACCTCCTCTTTACCCGAAATATATTCATATTCGAAAGACATAAAATTAAGTGTTTTATTAGATAATACTTATAAAGTCTGCACACTCATACTTTAGTCTGGACAAAACCCTTATAAACTTTGAGCACAACTTCAAACTGTTTAAAGCATATTTACCCAATATTTCATTTTTAACTGAGTTCACATCCTCATCTGAAAAAGTTTTAGCCAAAATATCCTTAAGCTCATGTGTATACAGCTTTTGTGGTTTGTTATAGTGGTCTAACCGTTTTAAAAGGTCACATATTATAATACGCAACTCATTAAAACGTGTTTCTTCAAGTTTAAATGTCTTAGAGTGTTGTAGTTCATTCCTTGTAAGTCTTATGCGCTCAATATCATCTCCAGTAACTATGCCTGTAATTTGATCAACTTGCCATTTCCCTCCCCATCCATTAGTTGGGATATGTTTATTAAGTTTCCTGTGCTCACTGTATAAGTATGTTATATCAGAATCGCTCCTTGGACGTAGATTTGGTTTATCTGGTTTTAAAAGGTCATATAAAACATCAGCAAGAATATTCAAAGCAATCATCCCCATTTTTGCAAAATTAATTTCCTCATTTGTAAACTGAAAAGAAGATAAAAGTAAGGTATTGTAATGTAAAATATGAAGAAGATAATATATAATAAGGCTTACATAAGTTTTGGTTGAATCAATTATCAGTTAATTTGGTCAAGTACTCGTAGAAATTTTTCCAAGATAAAAAAAACAAATTAAAAGTAAAATCAATGATGATGGTACCTTGCATCTAAAAGTAATTGTGTATAACTCTTGCTCAACTGGATTTTTTTCGCACAACCAAAATGCAGGAATGCTGTTTAAAACTTTATGAGGAACATCTTGTTTAGAAAGATTTCAGCAATATTTTTTCCTTTAACCATAAGCAGATGAAAAAACGTGTGTTGTGTGAAATCTTTTTTTTTTTTTTTTTATCAATGTAAATGAAACAAAGTTAACTAAATATATTTGTATTTAAATAAATATCTACCATACTGTTTCAACTGGATCACAAATGTATTATAATTATTTACCAAACATTGGAAGAATCTGGTCTTTAACATGATAAATTCATGATAAAAAGTTTGTTTCAAATAACTAATGCATAGCAGTATGATGACTATGAAAGGAGTAAGGTCGTTACAGACCTCATTTGACTATGAACATTGGGTCCATTGTTTTATGATCAACATATTTCATGTTCATGATGTTGATTAAAAAACATGTACGAAAGAGATATAGAACTATTCTTGTCAACTTTTTCTTATCAAGCGTTGACATCCTCTAATTTGCCATAGAGATTTCTGTTGAATGTGACCAAATTGTTTTGATTTCTATCAAATTGAGGTACCGGTATATGAAACAAAGATAGCAGGATTCGACAAACTATATATTCGAGTCAAATATGTTTATTGTAATAACAAATAAACATTATGTTCATAAAACTTTTTTGTTGACCAATGAGCTCTACGTTTACGTTCCTAAAAACCAATGCAATGAAAATATGCCCGTTAACATACACCTTATCGCTATTTGTCTGCCATTACTGGACATCACAAAAGTTCCCGTAAAATTTTGACATCATAATACAAACTATCTGACGCCACAATGAAAAAGTAATTGTTGTATGACGTCAATAGTTCAAGCAGGGAAGGTTATCAGGTCAACCAGGACAGATTTCCAAATAGCGATAAGGTGTATTGAATTTTGTACTATTTGTGACACCAAGAAATAATCTAAATGACCTATTTCATATCGTTATTGTTTTAGCTATGATTCATTGTGATATTGGTTAATACATCCTTATTTGAAACATACTGATTGCATTTAAGGAATTTTTTTTATTCTAAAATGTGTAACAAACAATATATAAATAACACATAGCTGAGGGAGTGATAGAGCAGATTTTTACCCAGAGAAAACATTGTCAAACGATGCGAGCTCAGCTATATGTTATTTAATTTATTATACTGAATGTTCTATCATTTTTGTCTTTTAATTGAAAGCACTTAATTTTGACGTCATGTACATAACGTTACAGTTATTAGAAAAACAACAAAAGTGAACCAAGATATTTTTTTTTTATTTTGACAGTCTATGAAAAGTTTTGAGGCCATAACCTATAACTGCATCATATTTAATTTTTAGGTATTGATGTACATAATTATTGTTGTAGCTAATATTTTTTTTAGAAAAACAATTGTAAATAAAAGTCATTCCTATATTTTTAAATTAAAACATCATTATAATTTGATTGCTTGCTTGCTTGGTTGATAAAATGTTCATGATCATTCATTGATTGTTTGTGTGACGTCAAGTGACGAATATTTAACGAACATGCTTGATGACCTTCTGCTGTTGTCTGTTCTATGGTCGGGTTGTTGTCTCTTTGACACATTCCCCATTTCCATTCTCAATTTTATTTACTCAGAGAAACAGGTTAAATCTCCCCCTTCTAAAAAAAGAGAAACAAAATAGATACTACTTCCACGATTAAATACAGTGGGACGACTCTCCTGGGACATGTGAAAAAGAAAATACGATGGAATTTTAAGATTCAAATTAATAGACACGTAGAACAACAAAAACAAAAACTTTAAGTCCAAGGTCAAAATTTGATTGCAAGAAAACCAAATTCATACACAACAAATTAATAAAACATGAATTTCGAGGACCACTATATATATAGCTAGAGAAAGGGAAATTCATAAAGGACGATTCAAGGATATTTTTGAGGAAGGTGTCAATCCTTGAAAGTTCCAATTGGAATTTATTAAATTCAAGGATACTTTAAAGTAGAAGGGTGATAAATCCTTAAATATTCCAAGAAGTACCATGATTTAGGTACAAATAAACATGTTGCACTGACATGAAAACCTTCCATTTAATGAGAGCCAGCCCCTACCTTTTTTGTATGTTCCTTGGAACCAAACCCCATGTATTTTTTTTCTAAAATTATAAATTGGTTCTTTATTTGGAGGATTTTTTTTATCATTCTGTGGGTAATGTATAAAAGTAAAGTATTTGTTACTGGACATCATAGAAACAATCAATCCATCAATCAATATACAATATGCGCTTCTGTACGTTATGAAAATGTCGATCAATAAATTACTAATATTCATTCATATAAGCAAACGAACCAAGCCAAATCGATTAATGAATGCAATTTCCGTCAAATATGACATAAAGTAAAATGTCAGTCAATCAACTAAGCTATCTACCAACAATCCACACCAACCAATCTAAATGAAAAAGTAACTGATGTTATGCAAATATTTTTTTTCAACCAACCAATCAACCAACTTAGTGATAGAAGAGGTGGAAAGACTTCACTCGAACGTTTTACTTAATCTACTGGAGGTTATGTTCAAAAACTATTGTTATGCGGAGTAAATCAATAAATAAATTAACACGTTTGAGACGATCCCTTATTTAGATATCTCTGGTGTAGACTCTTGACTCTCAGTTGTCCATTGTAAAAAAATTTCTAACATTTCTATTACTATTCGAAGCTGTTTGTGTATGTTTATCGACTCGATGAAAATTACATCTTATGCTGAACACATAATTCTCACCTCACATATCAATACTAGTTCAGTTAAGCTGTCTGTGTATGATTATCAACCCGACGAAAGATTTAGTCCAATTCCGCACACACACTACTCACTTCACGTAAATACTAGCCGTTTGTGTATGTTTATCCATCCAACTGATGAAAGTTTACATACTACTCGTTAAACATTACGTATATCATGTATATTAATACATAATTTTGATCAGTAAAGCTGTTTGTTTTTGTTTCCTTTATGTTTATTAAAAAAAAAGTATAACAAAAATACCAAACTCCAGGGTAAATTAAAAAAGGGGGAATTCCATATAACTTGACGATTCAAATGTTACACTCTCTCAACCAACTGATCGAACGTAAGACTGAACATCTCCCAATTTATGCATTTTCATTTTTGGGAACTGAATATGGCATGAAAATACATAGTAGTGTTACATACCCCTGCCGAACTGGCTGTTCCTGTTGCCCCTTCATTGGCATTTGAAAATACTCTCTCACCAGCTTGGACCCGGACACGTACCTTCAAATATAAAAGCATGTCATTCATTATCAATAGAACATATTGGTAACCATCATGAAAATGTGTCAATGAGGGTGGCACCTATCATTTTCTTTCATTCCATTTTGATAAACATAGGTTGAATAATCAACCAATTCAAGCATGCAATTATGTCTAAATTCTTTGGCTGTATACAAGTATAAGTAAAATGGGTAAATTGAAAAAAGCTACATTTTTCTTCAGAGATGTGCTACCTTTATGATGAAAAGTCCTCTGCTTAAGTTTCAAACAAGCCCGTCATTGAAAATTTAAACCCCAGACTCCTTATAGATTTTAACTGAAAAGGTAAATCAATTTATAAGTAAAGATAATGATTGGAGTTTGGTTCATTTTGGCCGCACATTTTTCTTTAAAAAGAGGAAAATCTTTTTTACATTCAGAACGAGGGAAAAAGACGCAAAACCATAGCAATAGCTTACATTGTCTGATTAGCTAAAATGCTCAGTTTGGATTATCTTGAATCCACTGTCTGAATAGTTTGCACATTGTCAGATTAGCTAAAATGCTCAGTTTGGATTATCTTGAATTCACTGTCTGAATAGTTTGCACATTGTCAGATTAGCTAAAATGCTCAGTTTGGATTATCTTGAATCCACTGTCTGAATAGTTTGCACATTGTCAGATTAGCTTAAATGCTCAGTTTGGATTATCTTGAATTCACTGTCTGAATAGTTTGCACTTTGTCAGATTAGCTTAAATGCTCAGTTTGGATTATCTTGAATTCACTGTCTGAATAGTTTGCATTTCAACAGCAAGAAATATTTCATATTATTTCTTGTCAATCTAAACATGCTAAATAAAAGTTGCTCGATTTGACGAATGTATAATTTTTTCAGAAATTAGGTCTGAAGTAATACAAGTAATAATTAATCTATCTTACATCATCATGTATATATAACATAATACTTACTGCTAGTTATACAAATATCAACATAATACTTACTGCTAGTTATACAAATATCAACATAATACTTACTGCTAGTTATACAAATATCAACATAAGGATAGCTTCCATGCTATAAAATAGTAGCTTTTTACCTTGGTGGATTGAACCGTAGTTTGGATTTGACTTGAGCTTTCTGTGTAAGGATTAGATATTGGAACGTTTGCAGAACTCTGTAACAACTACAATAATTCAGAAAATAAAATGTACCACTATCAGATGATCCCCCTTACCTTATATATAATTAAAACAGCACTCTACTTAAATGTATGAATCATTATGGAAACATATTACAACTTACATGTTATTACAATGATTGCATAGATAGAGCATCTTGTATTTCTACAAGCAGATTATAGTTAAGTTTTCACAGTTAGTTTCTGAAATATTCAGTTTATCTCTTGCCAGTTCTTTGTTTGGTCTTTAGACCATCCGAACTAAGAAAAGGAGGTTGAGGACATCACTGCTGCCTGATTCTGAAGTAAAATACATGTCTTGCTTCTGTTTTCTGGAGGAAACAACATGGACAAGTTGAACTGTGAGCTTTTTCTTACTATTTTCATATCAATAGATAAGTATTTGGTAAATACAGAGACAGAGTTGATGAGTATCATATTTGAAAAGGTATCACGCGGTATAGCAAATTTCATGGAACTCTAATTGACACTTTTTAGAAAGAGAGAAAAACATGTGTCATATACATAATATATGGTTGAAATGTGTAAAAATATATGTTTATATCAAACTGGATCACGATAAACAATTAATGTGAAAGTGAAACATTGTTTAAATCAACAAATAGCTATTAAGATGTAAATTTCTCTTAACGTTAGTGCCTGAGAAAAGCTAGGAAAACTTTTATTGGATGGATTAATGGAAGGATTAAAGAGGTTAACCAATGCACCATCTTATTACAAATTTTCCTTGTAAAACTCACCAAACATTGATAAATCTTTTACTTACATCAACTGTTCTACATTGTAGATCTGACCATTCACCTGTGAACTCATGTGCAATTTTACATGTCTCACAATAATATTTTGTATCCTGATCTTCACGACAGTCAAACGATCCTGTTACAGACTCTGGTCTTGTTTGGCCACATTCCCACTTTTTCTCAAATTTCACATTAGACATCTTAAATCTTGTGCTTATTATCTTGACAATTTCCTCTGTCACAAAGTCGTCAATGTATTTGTACATACCTCCTTGACGTCCTTTCTCAAATTGCCAAACCTGAATTTGAATCCAATTCGGACATTTCATTATATGCAATTTTGCTAATTTTGTCGTTTTCTGTAACTCAAAGACAGCTGAACCTCTGAAGAGAGCAATTTGTCTTTTTTGTTCCTTCGTGACAACTTCTGCAACTTTATATTTCCTGCACAGTGACGCAATTAAATGATTCATTAAATGAGGTGGAAGAAACCTAAACTTATAACATAACCAGGTTGACTTATTACATGTGTTTTCTGTAACATTAAACATTTCGTATACATCACACTCGGGTTCTGATTTAATCATACAAGGTACATAATAGAGAGGTTTGTCATCACCAGCGTCTCTTTGAGTTTCTGATATGTTAGGACGTATAATGATATCAAATTTCTCCATTACGTTCAGGATGTGATCCTTGTGTTTGGCAAAAATGTTTTCACTTTTTCTAAATATGTCGTCTAAAACTTCACTATGTAATTTGCCTCTGCTATACAATTCATCCCATTTTGTTCTATTTCTAGTACTAAAAGCTCTAAATTTCTTAGCTGTGACTATACATTTAAAAGCATCAGACAACCACTGTGTGTCTAAAATAATATAAGAAGACAGATCTTTGAAATAAACTAAAGCTCTGATCTCATGGTGAAATTCCAGGAACAATCTGAGTTCCTCATCATTTAGTGGATTAGGTGTATTAGTAGAGATGTGCTGCATTTCCTGAAAGGAAATAATTGGTAACTCCTTCTTTTTCTCTTGAAGTCGTTTTTCCAGCTGAATAAATTTTAAGGGGTAAACTTTGTTCCACGTTTTTATTTTTCTGGCTAAGTTGAGGATGTCTTCTCGGATTTGCTGGAATACACTGGGGTCATCTTCTGTATTGGAAATGAAGTATTCTTGCCTTATATGTTTTAGTTCATCTTCTGACATATTCTTCGTAAACTTAAAAATGTTTTCTCGGCATGCATCGTCAATCTACAAAAAAAATATGCTTGTTTGTTTGTTTGGTCTTTACAAATATATGAATGCTTTGAACATATTTGAAAACATGAAGTTAATACTAAAGCTATATAAACATATATGATAATCATATAACTATATTATATTAAATAAATTATCGTAAGAACACAACTTTTTTAAAATGTGATAAAGGATTTGCTATTCCTGATAACACTTTAAACTGATAAAGTTATTTCATTATCATACCTGTCAACTGACCCGTATCCTGCGGGTCACACCATGGAATTTCACCCCCTACCCGGGATGGTTTAAATATCCTCTGGGTCGTCAAATAACCTGTGAATTCGGAAAATAACCCGTTTTCACCCGGATTCTTGAGCCTTTAGATTGATTTCATAAGTGATTTTCCTTTGAAATACCAGGCAAATTCGCAATTCTTCCTAGACAAGAAGTTCAAATAGCTGTGTTAACTGTCAAATTAAGTGAAAAGTTAAATCACAAAAATACTGAACTCTGAGGAAAATGTTGATCTGATTAGATTACACTATCAGTAAAGCATGATGGTCCTGTACAAAAATGAAAGAACAGTAGAAGTGTGCTTGCAACCCATAAACATTTGTAGATTTTCAATACCTCTTCTACATCAGAGGTCACAGCATCTTTCCAAGTACCAACAATAACTACTGGTGGATCAAGATCATCTGATGTCTTGCTGTCAGCAGAATTACTTTTGTCCTCTTCCAGTCTACTGTAGCAATGGATTGAGTCCATCCATAACTGGAATAAATCTACAAAGAAATAGAATACCGATTTCAATCACCATTTATTTAAGTCTCATAAAGATGTGCAAGTTATTTGTAGTTGAACAGAATAATGAAAAACACATTACGAGCTGTCTTTACTTTCACCAGCATTGCAATGTTATTAGAACATGTAATAATTGTACTGTTACTATTTTAAGGGAGACAGATTCATGATACCATCTTATACATTTTATTTTATGTATATGGCATTACTTAAGCAATTTTAGGAATATATTAATGTGACATTTTAGGTATGAAAATAAATCACCCTTGTTAAAGCTCTACACATTCTCTATAACAAACTAGAGGCTCTAAAGAGCCTGTGTCGCTCACCTTGGTCTATGTGCATATTAAACAATGGACACAGATGGATTCATGACAAAATTGTGTTTTGGTGATGGTGATGTGTTTGTAGATCTTACTTTACTGAACATTCTTGCTCCTTACTATTATCTCTATCTATAATGAACTTGGCCCAGTAGTTACAGTGGAAAATATTTTGTAAAAATTTACAAAAATTTACAAAATTTATGAAAATTGTAAAAAATTGACTATAAAGGGCAATAACTCCTTAAGGGGTCAATTGACAATTTTGGTCATGTTGACTTATTTGTAGATCTAACTTTGCTGTACATTATTGTTGTTTACAGTTTATCTCTATCTATAATAATATTCAAGATAATAACCAAAAGCTGCAAACTTTTCTTAAAATTACCAATTCAGGGGCAGCAACCCAACAACATGTTGCCTGATTGGTCTGAAAATTTCAGGGCAGATAGATCTTGACCTAATGAACAATTTTATACCATCAGATTTGCTCTAAATGCTTTGGTTTCAGAGATATGAGCCAAAAACTGCATTTTACCCTATGTATTATTTTTTTGCCATGTCGGCCATCTTGGTTTGCGGGCAGGGTCATCGGACACATTTTTTAAACTAGATACCCTGATGATGATTGTGGACAATTTTGGTTAAATTTGTCTCAGTAGTTTCAGAGGAGAAGATTTTTGTAAAAGATTACAAAAATTTACGAAAAATGGTTAAAAATTGACTATAAAGGGCAATAACTCCTTAAGGGGTCAACTGACCATTTTGGTCAAGTTAACTTATTTGTAGATCATACTTTGCTGAACATTATTGCTGTTTACACTTTATCTCTATCTATAATAATATTCAAGATAATAACCAAAAACGGCAAAATTTCCTTAAAATTACCAATTCAGGGGCAGCAACCCAACAACGGGTTGTCCGATTCATCTGAAAATTTCAGGGCAGATAGATCTTGACCTGATAAACAATTTTACCCTATGTCAGATTTGCTCTAAATGCTTTGGTTTCAATGATATAAGCCAAAATCTACATTTTACCCCTATGTTCTATTTTTAGCCATGGCGGCCATCTTGGTTGGTTGGCGGGGTCATCGGACACATTTTTTAAACTAGATACCCCAATGATGATTGTGGCCAAGTTTGGTCAAATTTGGCCCAGTAGTTTCAGAGGAGAAGATTTTTGTAAAAGTTTACGGACGACGGACGACGGACGCAAAGTGATGAGAAAAGCTCACTTGACCTTTCAGGTCAGGTGAGCTAAAAACAAATGAGCGGATGTGTTATGATAGATATTGAGACAACAATTCACCACAAACCAATAGACAAGTAAATAATCAGCTAAAGGTCACAGTTCAACCCTTTCAAATTCTATCAAATAACAGCAATAGAGGAAAGATATGAAATTCACATACAAATAATGTTTTTAATATAATCTAGCTAGTTTGTTTGGCTTTAATTGGCGAAATTTTTACAATTTATAATGAACACTGTCAATCAATAATCTGTTAATAATTGATCAATTTAAAACAGTTTTGACCTATAATAAGCATGAACAAAAAACTCCTGTCTGTCAGACCTCCCCATGAGTCAATGCATAATACAAACCTGATCTCTCATTAACAGTAAAAAAACATGATAAACGCTAATTAAGAAACTGCTTGGATAGGGGAAATATTTAATATGTAAACAACTACTAGTAACTAATATGTAAATTATTCACCTTTTAATAAAGATACAGACCAAGTATTTTACTGTTTTATTAAAATCATAGTGAAAGAAATTATTTAAGAAAAAAATGGTGTCATTTTGGTGGGGTTTGTGTTGCTTAGTCTTTAGTTTTCTATGATGTGTCTTGTGTACTATTATTTGTCTGTTTGTTTCTTTCTTTTTTAGCCATGGCATTGTCAGTTTATTTTCGATCTATGAGTTTGACTGTCCCTCTGGTATCTTTCGCCCCTCTTTTAAGAGGTAAAATGTAAAAAGTAAGTACATTGTTCCATCATGGAAGAAACAGTTCTGAGTACAGTCCCAATTTGTCTGAAGATATCTAAATTCTTTTAGAAATTGTCTAATACAAGAAAAATATGACTGAATCTTTTTGAATCCCGATATGAAAATAACAATACCAATTTTGTGCGTCCTAAGTGCTCTTCTGGATTAGCATGATAAATAACCTTCATCAGGAATACTTATATCCAAACATTTGAAACCCTTTAAGTTAGTTATAAATCATGTGATTACGTGATATCTCTTTTGGAATGGAGACTGACAATTCTGAATTTATGCTGCATTTTTCTGAATCTTGAAAACATTTTGATTCAGAAAAATTCAGAACTTCTGAAAATGTCTTAAATTTTATGAATGTGTCAGAACTATGTTCCAGAATATATGTTAGACAGATTAATAAAATTGAGAATGGAAATGGGGAATGTGTCAAAGAGGCAACAACCCGACTATAGAACAGACAACAGCAGAAGGTCACCAACAGGTCTTCAATGCAGCGAGAAATTCCCGCACCCGGAGGCGTCCTCCAGCTGGCCCCTAAACAAATATATATACTAGTTCAGTGATAATGAACGCCATACTAAACTCCAAATTGTACACAAGAAACTAAAATTAAAAATAATACAAGACTGACAAAGGCTAGAGGCTCCTGACTTGGGACAGATTTTCTGAAACAAGTCTGATGTACCTGAACAATCTAGAAAGCTGCGCAAATGAAGCAATTTGATGAAAAGAATATTTAGAAAGCATTTGATTAGCGCTATAAGCACAAGGATTTACATATTTGTATACATCGCAATTGCAATGATTACAAAAAGTTTAAGTTATATTAAGATTTCAAAGACTGTAAAACAATTTAATTAAAAAAAATCAACTTCATTGGATTTCTGCACTCTGAACTATTTAATCTATAAAGAAATCATGATTTCGATGAGTAATCATGAGAAAAAAATCTATAGATATCTAACGTTGAGAAAACTCTTAAAGCAATATGTACAGTACTTGCAAACTTAGGAGTTACTGTTTGATGGGAACTTGACTGATCGATGAATGATAAATGATGTATGTTTGACTGATCAATGAATGATCGGTGATCAATGACCCATAGAATCCGTCAGATACGTCAAATAATCGGCGACTGATCGATGACCGCAGATTGATTGCTAAAATAGTAACGCCTAAGGTTGCAAGTACTGTATGGCATTGGTGTGTACAATTGAGATAATTCTATCATTTTATAACTTAATCAATAACAAACGAAATATAGAACATTGAAAATTGCCTGTTAATTCAAAGTCACTGGTCTTAGCCTAGGGGACAGAGCCTCTAAATATGATTCTACACATGTTTTAACGACTTTATACATATATCTATGACAACTTTTAAAAGGTTGAGAAAAAAGAAAAATATCAATTCCAATAAAAGGCTACTTGAACATTTGGAAATCGTTAAGCAAACTAGACATCACTTAAAAAATAGAAGTGTTAAAAATAGCTGACATCAATATATTTCCAAAAGCCTGCCGACTGCATAACACATTTGTGTACAAGATTTGGATTTTCCAGGTTGTCTACCTTATGAAAGGTTGAAAACAACTGACGGGTGATATATAAATATGACATATGTGAGACTGATAAATCTGTCTTTTAAACAAAAGCTGTAATTAGCTCAACATTTTGCCATCGAGCATTACTGAAGAGACATTCATTGTTGAAATGCACATCTGGTGCAGTAAAATTGGAACAGTTAATGCAATTAATTGGCCCAAGAACACAGTTATTTCGTAGTGCATTTCTTTTAGACAATACATTCAAATTAAAAAAATTGCACCTGCTCTATCTCAAAAAGATGTTTACAGTGTAGTGTACTACTATTGGGACAAATAATATCAAAATTATAGAAAAGTCTACCAGCTCTAACTCAAAATATTGACATTTCTTTGTCAAGGGGGTCTAAAATTCAGTTCGACAGCTTCAGACATACTAGTTTTTGGCCTTTTTGAACTGGACCATATCACTACTTAACATAAAGATTCAGCACCCAAATTTTTTTAATATGTAATTTCATCTCTTTACTTAATATTTCATGCATAAAATATAAAGAAATAAATTTGGAAAGTGTATGAACAAAATTTGCAAGTTATACACTGTCCACACTAGGGACTATATTTGAAGACAACGAAAATCTAAGGACGATAACTGTGTCCTCGGACCTAATAGAATAGAAAGACTTGACCAATTCTAATAAAACGTTGCATGACCTAAGCTTAGGGAATTATAAGATAGTTGGCCAAGTTTCATGGCAAGAGGATATATATCATAGGAACTATGGCTATTTTAATATTGAAATTTGGATGTTTAATTTCAACTATCAAGATTTGGGCTTTAAAAATTTAAATATTGCAAAAATTTGCTTTTTAAATGCTCTTAGATATAAAATATTAGGTATTAAAAGAAACTGAACACTCATTTGATTTTTCAGATTTATTACAATTATTCAAAAGTCAAATTTATATGAGCCTGTGCCTGAAAGTTGAGATTTTCGAATTAAGGGGAGCCTTGCATAAACATGCATTTTTTCCAACCAATTTGAATTTTTTGAAGTTTTTTAACCATAAATTATTCTTCCATATATACTAAATATACTTTAAAT